TTGGTCAAGCTGGTCTCAGCATTCTTCAGCACTAAGAACAGCAGTGTTATCCTTGCTCAGTGTAATCACTGATCAGCAGCCCGTCCTTGCTCCACTGAACAGCAAACTCTCCTTGCTCAGCCCTTCACTGACAAACTTACAAGCCTGCTTAGGCTGAGAGCCCTGCTACAGATGTCTGTGAGAGAAGTGATCTAAGGTAAAATTGGGACATGGACGGATATTTCTTCTAGTCTTTGCTAGTGTGCCATTTTCATGTAATTGAGAGTTTAATTTATTCTTGGGTTCTTATGTATTAAAGCTGCAACTCAGATTTAAGTTTTATTTTCAAGTGTGAAAGAGCAGGGGTCAAGCTGAATTCCTGCTGGTGAGTGATTCTCGAAACAAGAATAAGTATCACACCTTGCCAAAGCAGGATCCCGTTATCACCTCACAGACTATGTGCATTCTGTCTGCTTTACTTCTATTACTAAGCCATCTCAAATTATTCAAATATTTACCCCTTTATCCTTTTTAATGCAGGATTTGTCTTCAACCCTCCCCCCTCAATGAGTTGCATGTTTTGATTCTGTTCTGCTGGTCTGTGAATTCATTGTTTGCAGGCTGGCAAGGCACCAGTTTGGGGGTGACAGATGGAGCAGACTGCAAACCAGGCAGTTGCCTCCTAGCCTAAATGATATTTTAATAAGCACAGAGAGGTGACAGAGAGAGAAGCTTCTCACTGGAATGACTGGCAGTTTTGTTTCCAGCCTGAAAGCACCAATAGATTATTTTTGGCCTCAGTCCAAAAAAAAAAAGATTCCGCAGAAAATCCTATTAGCTCCTAACTTTTTTAGGGGTCAAAGAAGTTTTTCTGTCTGGTTTGTTATCCATTTAGGGAGTTGTTTCCTTTATGCCATTTTTGGTACTTCAGTTTTCTCTCAGGAATTGTACGCTTTAGGAGACTTTCTTTTTACTTACCATTTTGGTTTCCTTCTTATTTTTTATTATTTCAGCAATTTTCTCCATTGTCTTCCTTCCCTAGACATTCCTTCGTCATATTTCTTTATACTTTTCACAGATTCATGTTGGAATAATGGGATCTAACAACTTACTTGGCTTCCAGCTTCCACATCCTGTGAAACAACTACTGCACTGTGAGGCAATGGCATCTGCATGGGAATCTCTAGAGCATATGTCCTCTTCTCCCTGCCCTTCAGCTGTGTCTCAGATGTATAATACAGGGTTTGTATAGGGCTTTGTTTCATCCTTGGTCTTATAAATAAAAAAGGCACAACAAAAGGGAGCTCTGGCAAATCCCCAGCAGGCTCTGAGATCCCTCTGCAGTGTGAGCAACATGGTGTTTTGCAGACAAGCTGTAGGATAGTTAGGCTTTCAAAGAAGATGCTTCTTCTTTCCATGAGTACAGGTTAAAATAGGACCATCTCTCACTAGGAAAGTATAAAAATGGAGCTGGGATCTGAACTATGGTGTGGTCCCATACACTGCTCAGAGAACACGCTGGAAATTTCTCAGTAGTTGGACATAGCTCTTCAGGTTTATTTAGCAATATTCAGTCTAGATTTCAGCTCATGTGTGAGCTGTAAATTAATGCTATTCCTGCTAAAACATGTTTCTTTTTTCTTCCAGAAAAAATGATGACACTGAATGTTCAGATCATCTTCGGCCTCTTTTGCTGCATGATTTTTCTTCCTACAGATGGCTTCCCAGCAGACACCAGTACTGAATTTCGCTCTGCTTTCTCTGTGGCCAGAACCAGCAGCATGGAAGGGAGCTCTGAGATGGTGATCACCTTTGACAAAGTGTATGTGAATATTGGCAATGATTTTGACCCCAAGACTGGATTGTTCCGCTGTCGGATCCCAGGAGCCTACTACTTCTCCTTCACGGTTGGGAAATACCCAAAGAAAAACTTGTCTGTCATGCTGATGAGAAACAAGAATGAGGTGCAGGTAATTGTGTATGACGAACATCACCGCAAGGAACGCAAGGTGGCCAGCCAGAGTGCCATGCTGCAGCTTGACTACGGGGACACAGTGTGGCTGCGTTTACATGGAGATCCCAAGTACGCTCTTTACAGCAATGTGGGGCCCTATACAACTTTCAATGGCTACCTGATCTATCCAGACACTTCTGCCTTCTTCCAGAATGCTCTTGACTCTAAAGAGCTCGGGCCACACCCTCACACAATTCAGCAACTTCCCAGAGAGCAGAATGAAGCTTCACAGCGACACATGTTGCCTGACCAACCAAAGAGGGTGCAAGACCCTCGCTCTGCATTTTCTGTTGCCCGCTCGCAGAGTCTCCTGGGGACAGATGAGAAGCAAACCCAGCATGAGCCAATCACATTTGATACAGAGTTCGTGAATATTGGAAAAGATTTCAATTCCTCCACTGGCGTCTTCACATGCCGTATACCTGGTGCATACTATTTCTCCTTCACCATTGGCAAAATGCCCTTTAAGACTATGTCAGTGAAACTGATGAAGAACCACAACGAGGTGCAGGCCATGATCTATGATGACAACCACTCCAAGAGGCGGGAGATGCAGAGCCAGAGCATCATGCTGCCTCTGCAATACGGGGACACTGTTTGGCTCTACAGCCATCAACATGATGGCTATGGTGCCTACAGCAACCATGGCAAGTACATCACCTTCACAGGCTTCCTCATCTATTCAGAGGCTCAGCCAAAGTGGCTTCCAGGTGCCAGCTCACCTCAAGGATCAAACAATTAAATGCAGATGTGAAAGGAGCATAAGAAGAGCCAAGGTGCCATGAACTTGAGTATAGCTTCCTCTGAATATCATCCTCTGCTTTGAGCATGCTGTCATGTGTCCAGTGCTTTCCTTACGCTGCACGCTTGTGCCCTGTCAGCAGGGCCATTGCTGTGTGTGCCATTCATTCCTAGAGAGGCCTTTTGGGTTGTAGCTGTGTGTCCCGTGTTGGTGTTCGATTAACATAAAAGCATGAGGTAGTTTTGGGGCAGGGGTGGGGCACTGTAGTGAGATGCTGAGGATCAGAGAACTACTGCAGTCATGATACTGTAGATCTCCAGCATCCAGAGAGAAAAGGGTGTGGTGACTTTCCTTGTTTATCCAGAGAGGGAATAAGTGTAATGAAAATGAATGTAATAAAAATACAAAAGATGGGAATGTTCTCAGTTGGGAGTTTATGCTACTTTGTGAGACTTGTGTGCTTGTCATTGGCTGAGGTACCAACTCAGGTGAGAGAGAAGCATGGTAATTGTGTGAGCTGAGGATGTGTTACTGAGCCAGTCTGTCTGTGTACACTCTTTAATCATTTGTGTGTGTGAAGGGTTGGTACCTCTTATGATTTTATTGCAAGTTTCACAGTGGTTTGTGCTTTTCTTTATCTGATGTAGATGAAGTCAAGAAGGTGTGGTTGAGAATCTCAGCTTCCATTTAACGTAAAGAATACATTTAGAAACAAACAAAAGAGCAGGCTTCTTACGGTGAAAGATAAGGGCTCAAATCTGTGAATGGACCATGCTCTGAAAGCCCAGAAGCAAGGTAAGTAAGAAGAACAAGAAATATGTCTTTAAATATCTAAAGATTAGGATCAGGAGCAGGCTCATAATACCAAGTGTGAGTAGTACCACTCCAGCAGTGGCACTGCTGACCCCAGAAATGAGCCCCTTGAACACAAGGGTGCTGCTGGCCCACCTCGTGCTGCACTGATAGCCTCCTGCAGGCGGGGACAGAGGAACCGCGGGTGATGTGTTCACCATTTCCAGTGGTTCTGTACGTGCCGAGTTCCACCGAGAGTTTGCCCTGTGGAGAGGCTGCTGTGGCTGTAGCAAACACTATTGTGTTCCTACAGTCTGACAAACAGAGCGGTGGGCAGCCAGTGGGATCCACTGAGGAGGTAGTGGGAGCACAGGAGACTTCATCATAGCACCACTGGTGCTGTTTCAGTTGAGATAAACCCCGGTTTGTATCCCAAAAATACATAAACTGCAAACGTGCATCATCCTAAGCATGTACACAGCTTCATGACATCACTTCAGTGTACTTTATAATCCGTTCAACAGGCAGCAATGCTCTAAAACTGCTCCTAACAAAATCCTGAGTTCAGAGCAGTGTGTTGGCATCTGAGTCACAAGCCAACCCACTCAGCCTTTTTCCATTTATTCGCATGGCTCAGGCTGTACATTCTCCAGCAAGACAGCATTTTTATGCACCAGTGGCCATCTCAGCTCAGCTTTTTGATGATACTCTGCTCAAACTCACTGCCTCTGTCTCTCCATACATGTCCTAGACATTAAAGACTGGGGCATATTTGGCAAAAAGATGAAGAGTAAAGATTTGAAGTATGTAAAAAAACAGCATAAGAATAATAGAACATTAGGTAAGACAAGAAGTTTTACTTAAAATAAAATTCTAATTTTAATTAATATAATCTTTGGGGTGAAAAACAAAGAAACAAACAAAAAGAACCCCAAAACACAAACCAAAATGAAACAAACACACAAACCAAAAATCCAACAACAACCAACCTGCTTTAAATCTACCTCCTGTCATAACCCTAAGATGACCTCTAAAACCATTGTCTGTAGCATCTTGCTTCCAGGCTTCTTGTTCCTGCCTTACCATTTTCCCTCTCCATCTGTTGGACAACAATGGCTTGGAATAAGATTAACTAGGTCAGAAACTAGCAGTTCCCACTCTGAAGGTCACACATGCCTCTTTTGTCTAACATGGAAAAATTATATTGATAGAAAGGGAATTATGGATCCCATTGTCTAAGCACATGCAATGAATGTTTGAAATTTATGTACCTATAGGTGCAGCAGGAAATCTGCTAGAAACAACAAGAATCAAAATCAAAACCCTCCTGAGGAGATAATTGCATTTATCTAATTCCACACCACAGTGTTTAAGACAGACAAATGTTAATGATGTCTTTTTGTAAAATAATTATATTTCTGATAGAGACTATGTATTTATTATGTTTGGCTTGTAAAATGCCACAGCTGTACAAAAAAAAAAAAAAAAAAAACTTTATAGAAGAAAGGCAAAATCTGCTGAAGAAATAACTAGGTCAGGATTCTTCAGAATTTAAATGAGATTTCAGGAAGTATATTCCAGAATGATAACTGAAACAAAGCTGTGTATATGTGTAAATATGATATGCAAATACTAGAAAGCTTCATGGAATACATACATTTTCAGGTTGCCTTTTAAAGAAAAAATAATACATGATATGGGAAATTGCTGTTGACACCTAAAATATGATGTCACATGAGGAGAAAAATTAAATTAAATATGTGACCTATATAATGAAACACAACAAAACCTGCTTAGCTGCTATTGGAGAGAAGATCTTGTATTTGTCTGAAACCACAGTGAGAATATAAGGAGAGTGAACTGAATTATCTGAAAGGAAGTCAGCTGTGACACCAGCATAATATCTTAGAAAAATACTTTCAAGCCATCTCTCCTGAGCATCAGCGATCAAGATAGATAAGACATCTAAATAGCACTGCCCCATTCAGCACAGCTCACTTAGCAAAAAATCAGAAAAGGGAGAAATGCACTTTTGTCCTTTTTTCATTTAAAAATAAAAGCTTGCGCATAAATCCTGAGGGGGTTGTCAGCACAGTGCAGAAAGCAGGACAAAGGGGTGTGGCATATTTATTGAAAGTCCTGCACACTGTGGAAAGCATTGAAAATAACCAAGGAGGCAGCTGAAGCCAGGTGCGCCCTTTCCTACGGGGGTTCCCTCATTAGGTGTCTCTCTTGGTCCTGGCCAGGTTAGAGCGATAGAAATGTTTCAGGGATGCTAAATGTGAAGGCTTCTCCTTCCAAGGCCAGGAAGCCTGGAGGAGAGTGGTATTTGCAGGGCAGAGCCCCTTGCACAGGTCACGAAAGATTTCATCAACCAGCTGAGAGAAAAAGCCAATCCAGGGGGCTTTATCCAGACCCTGCATGGAGCGAACCTGATAGGCACTGTAAACACTGGTGAAAAGGAGACGGTCAAACTCCGTCGGAGGCAAGGGAGCGTCGGTCAGTGAATAGTATCTCAGATGCTGCTCAACCTCTGCCGGTGTTTTGGGAACTTCCTCCTCTAAAATCTGCAGGAAGCGCCGTGCCGGGCGTAGGGAGGCCAGCTCTTCATCCCGCAGCCGGATTGTCCCGTTGGCCTGGATATCCAGCCTTCCCCAGAGCATCTGGAAGAGAGGGGCAGCGCTGTCACGGAAAGCCGCGCACAGCTGCACCGCTCCCGGACGCGCTGCAAGCAAAGCCCAGCGCAGCGCCGCCGAGCACACCTCGGGCGGGTCCGGCGGCCGTGAGGGCCCCAGTCCGTGTCCTTCTCTGCCACCCCACAGCCCGATTCTGAGCAGCCCCACAGCCCCTTCCCGAGCGGCCCCACAGCCCGTTCCTGAGAGGCCCCATGGCCCGTTCCTGAGCGGCCCCACAGCCCGTTTCTGAGCGGCCCCACGGCCCGTTTCTGAGCGGCCCCACAGCCCGATTCTGAGCGGCCCCACGGCCCGTTCCTGAGAGGCCCCATGGCCCGTTCCTGAGCGGCCCCACAGCCCGTTCCTGAGCGGCCCCACGGCCCGTTTCTGAGCGGCCTCACAGCCCGTTCTTGAGCGGCCCCACAGCTCCTTCCTGAGCGGCCCCACAGCCCGATTCTCAGCAGCCCCACGGCCCGTTCCTGAGCGGCCCCACAGCCCGTTTCTGAGCGGCCCCACAGCCCCTTCCTGAGCGGCCCCACAGCCCGATTCTGAGCGGCCCCACAACTCGTTCCTGAGCGGCCCCACAACCCGTTTCTGAGCGGCCCCACAGCCCGTTTCTGAGCAGCCCCACAGCTCGTTTCTGAGCGGCCCCACAGCCCCTTCCTGAGCGGCCCCACAGCCCGTTTCTGAGCGGCCCCACAGCCCGTTTCTGAGCGGCCCCACAGCCCCTTCCTGAGCGGCCCCACAGCCCGTTTCTGAGCGGCCCCATAGCCCATTCCTGAGCAGCCCCACGGCCCGTTCCTGAGCAGCCCTACAGTCCGTTCCTGAGCGGCCCTGCAGCCCGTTTCTGAGCGGCCCCACAGCCCGATTCTGAGCGGCCCCACAGCTCGTTTCCCCGTGGGACCTGTGCCGCCCTGCCTCCCGCCCCGCTGTCCCCCCACAGCCCCGCTGCAGCCGCTCCCGGTGCGGCCGCTCCAAGCCCAGCGGGGCGGGCCCCTTGTCCCACCGCAGGCTCTCCGTGAGCTGCCGCGGCGTGGGCACAGCCGGCTTGGGCTGCGCCCCGCAGTGCCAGGGGGCACAAACGCCATTGGGCATCGCCGAGGCGTTCTCCGGGGGCTCCTGAAATCCGTCAGGGTTGAGAACAAACAGAACAGGTGAGTTTTTACGTGCAGGCAGGTGGGAGCATGGGCACTAACAGCGCCTCGGCCCAGAGCCCCCAGTGCTCAGGAGACCTCTAACATGATGCCAGCGTCCTCTGGGCCGCGACGGGCTCTGTTGGTGCCGCTGTGAGGATGTTCATCTGGAAGACATCAGACAGAGCTTGGTAGCACAAGACCTTCCTGTTTACTGTTTTTGCCATTTGATTGTCAATAACCTCTTCAGCATTCCTGAGCTACCACTCAACTTGCCAAATATGACAGATGCTGACCACGGGATTTTGATAAGCAAAACAAGTTTTTTAAGTGAAGCAGCAGTGGTTGAGGCGAGGTTTTGGATATCACGGCCCTTAGTGCTGCCAGCAGAGCTAAAGCATACAGCAGCAAAGGCACTGCTTTGACAGGCAGCAAGGAAGCCTCTCACATCGAGAATGGATGGGGTTTGAGCCAATGGGGTTTGGCTGGTTAGCAGTTATTGCTGGAGAAAGTAATGCTGCCCAGTGAAAGGAGGGTGCTGGCAGGATCCTCAAGCTGCTGCTAGAAACATAAACTGATGCTTATCCTGGTTATCTACTTCTTCCCTAAGCCTCTGCTGCTGGAAGAGTGTGAGGATAAAAGAATCCTTGCCAGATCCATTATGGCTCATTTGATGTCCAGCTAATTACTTGCTGGGACATATGACATCATATAAAACTGGGGAAAATGGATATGAGGCCAGAGGAATGGCAGTTTTTGAATATGAAAGTCACATTAATCCTATGAATTGTTCAATTTTCATTTCCTAATACTTACAGTGCTTTAACTGTCTGCATCTATTTCTTTCTTTGTGTGTATGAAAAAGGAGATACAAGCAGTCTTGGTCCAGGACTGTGAAAGAGAGGCTGCATCCCCTCCCTCCTCTGTGTCATGAGGAAGCCAAGACCCTCTTCTACTTCTTACAGGCTCGTTCCTCAGGTTAAGAAATATGAAATGGAAAAAGCTCTTATAAAATAGTAAGCTCTCCATTAAATTTATGTGGGTTTTTTTCATTTTTAAATGGATGAAAGCTTTTTCATATATATATATTAAAAAAAGAGTGAGGATTTACATTGAATACTCCAGAGTTAAAGTCAGCAGGTGCATATAAAAAGTAGAAAAATTATTTAGTAGTATACATGTGTGATGACTGCTACCAAAAGACACTTCCAAATCTCCATTTTTGATTAGAGGTTTTCAGGGAGATGCACGAGCTACTGGAGAAGTGCACTGCCAGCCTGCAGGCTGCAGTGTTTGTTTCTCTGCACAGCTGCAAGATCTGTGATCCAAGCCAGCTGTGGCTTTGGAATGTGAGCAGGGATGTAGCTTCTTTTTCCTAGTCCTCCACAGAGGTACCAGCAAGGCTTTTAGCTCAGGTGAAAGCATTATACCATCTGAAAATTTATTTGCTTGGTATTGTCTCTAGTAACCGATGCTCTCAGCTCACAGATCCCTCTCCTGAGAGATGTCTGACCAGCTGCAAAGTCAGTGCATCTGCTGAATAGCTGCCAAACTGCCCTTATTAGTAATTGCCTTATAAATATACACAGTGGCAGATTTTTGAATAGAGAAAAATGTAACGAAGCATAACAAATAATGTATTGGAATAATAACATAAGTATCCTCTGGGGAAGGGAAAATCCTTACTTATTTTATCACTCAACAGGGTTGGGTGGGGTTTTGTTTCCCAAAAAGCATATAGAAAATCCACAAACAGTATTGCAGGAGATTATTTTTTCAGCGGAGACCCAAGAAAATCCTCCCCTTGCCACCAAACACAGCAGCAGGTCTTCAACCTGCAAAGATGTACCAGTGCAAAGCCCCCCCAACTGGACTCCAGCTCTATCCCGTGCCAGTGCAGCTGCCTGAGGCCTCAGGCCAGGCATTTGGAGGAGCAGCATTTGGAGGAGCAGCAAAGCATTACACAAATGGCATTGCACAAAGGTTTGCCAAGCCAAGGGGCCATGTCACTAACATATGTGCTCCCTACCTGTCAGCCTCTGGGATGCAGCAAACACACACAGGAGCAGCCAGGAGCTGAGCTGTGCCTGGGCCATGGCAGCACCACCCGCTCTGCGACAATGCCGCGCCCCACGCCACAGCTGTTTGCCTGGGGCGTCTTCCCGTGCTGCTCCAGATCTCAGCAGCCTCTCTTGGAATGGATCCATCTTTCTGTGTTTCTGGTCACAGCCCTGGGAAGGGCTTGCAGTTCAAGTTGTTGACCCCGAAGAATATTTTGTGTCATATTTTGGAAACTTGGAAAACTTTGTTGTGATGTTTTTGGCAGAATTGTTCAAGCTTGCTTTTCAAAGATTGACTTTCCACTGCAATGATTATAAGAAGCTGTTAGTTGCAAGAAATTCCACTACATATGTTTGCCTCTTAAGAAGTGAGGACCCCCTAGTCCCTTCCATCTCTACACAGTGCCTCTGTCACATTTCAGTTTTCCTTTTTCCTGGGTTCAAAAATCTGAAAGCAATTCTGGAATGTCACAAACAGATAAAGCTAGAAGACTGCAGATTCATGGAAGGGCAGTAGCAGCCAAAACATACAAGCAGGCAGAAGAAGTGTCACTGGCTCAGTTCTGTATCAAACCCCCCCGGAGGGAGAACTCAGTACAGTGACCTAACAAACACCAAGTATCAAAGTGGCTCAGGCTTTAGCACCTCATCATCCTCTCCTGTGAGTGGACTTCTGGGTTACAGTGAGCATAGTCAGCCTTAGATGTTCTAAATTACACAGGCAAAACTTCATTTGATTCACTTTACAGCAGATGTCTGTTCGCCTCAAATCTTTACATATTTGTTAGTGCTAAGTCCCCAGTCAAACTGTTCTGTATTTCTATTCTGTGTGGCACAGAATGTAATGCCAGGGTTATACAACTATGCAGTAATATGTATAAATGAGAACTAATACCATCTCTCTCAGGTTAAAGGGAGAAAGAAGTCTGCCTAGAAAAGAGAGAAGGTAAAGCTGAAATGCATCTCTTGCTCAGCAAGTTACAGGATATCAGGCAGGACATACTATCACCAGATAGCGTACTAAGGGCTGGGAAGATGTGCTGGTTAGTATTACCTCCTGCTCATAATGGAAGCACCACTGAGGGGCCCACAATATCCAGAGACACTCTTCCCCTTAGTTTGGATTCAAAGCAAGACCTGTGTTTTCTGTCATAGGCTTGGGTATCTTCAAGTCATGCTGAGCTGCTTCCGTTTTCCATTATTTTCCCCTGCTTACTCTTCACTTGCATTCCTTTCTTCCTTTATTAAACTGAATCACAAGCTATGGAAAAACCCCTGTGTTTTGCAGCCCATGAAACAGCCTTCCTCTAACTTGCAGCACATGACATGAAGAGGATTGCCCAACAGGATTTTGGCCAACATCTGTGAGAGCTGTACATGATTTTGTCAACAGGAGAATTTCCTAGGAACAGCTTGCAGCTGAAGTGCCTGGAGGAGTACAGCCACGTTGGTGGGAGGGAGAAGAGAGGAGGCTTGGGGGCTGTGCTCAGGTGACTGATACAATGGCAGAAAAGGGACAAGCATCAGTGTGGATGCCGCCTTGAGCTAGGGGGATTTTATAGAACTACCTCACTATCCCACAAAGAAAGGCAATTTCAGAGTGATAAAAATATTCCGTAGCTGTCTGTACAGCAGCAATACTTGCACAGAAACAAGGCTGAGTTTCTGACAGCTGCACAAAGTCCCTGCATGTACTGCAATGTTAGGCAGTGCACCTGCTCCTCCTGAAGGATTTTGTCGTTGCCAGGTACTCACAGCTGAGCACAGCCCTGCCACTCTGCACTCCCCTGGCCATGCCGTCTGTTGCTGGAGCAGTTCCAAAACATCACAAGCCAGGTTTATGCAGGGACAGCTTGACTGGTTTCTTCTTTTTCACCATGACCTTCTGAAGCAGGAACATGGGAAATGAGAACAAGGGAAAAAGAGTCAAAAAGTGGGTGCTGATTGATGCACAAGGTGTAGCACCAGAAGAGCTTTAGGAGGGAAGTTTCTTTGAAGTAGGACTTCAGGGAGAGAGCACATTCACAAAAGGGAAATTCTGCTTATGGAATTGAAGAAACCTCTTGCTTTGATCATCTCGCCCAGAACTTGGGGAGATTACTCCCCAGCCTGAGGATGTCTGGCAGATGATCAAGGAAGGAAGAAGATTGAAGAAAGAGGGAAAGGACATATGTGGCTCCCAGAAAAAGTGATGTTTGAGTTACTGGAGTGGAAGAAGTAACAAAATCTTGAGGGAAGCAGGAGTGAAGGCCCAACTGTAACCAGACAGGACCTCTGTAATACTGGTATTTCCCAGGTATGGAGCTTCCAGTCCTTACAAGGATGTTTTCCTTGTCCTTTGGTTTCAGTTTGTGAGCAGCTTCTACTGCTTGAAGGAGTAATGAGCTGTGTAAAAGTGACAGAGAGGGCCCCATCCCACTGCACCTACTGCACATGAGGTAGGTGGGCACCTGACACTGTCAGTACCCACATCCTCAGGGAAGACAGTCTGTTTGCCTGGCTGTAGGGAGAAATGCCAGGGTTTTGGAAAACACCAGCAAAAGCTACTTACCTGGAGAAGTTCAATGTGATGACTGTGAGTCATCATCTAAAGTCTAGCTGTCCCTTCAGTACCAGAAAATCTCTCTTCTGTATAGTGTGTCTATAAGTCAGCTACATCTGACTTACATCCTTATAGCTGCTACATCCTCCTGCAGCTGGGGAATCCAACCCAGGCAAACAAACCCCACAGAAGCTGGCAGTACACAACAGGCAGGGACAGAGGGTTTGGAAGAAGCTTTGTGCTTGGCCAAGTTGACCCCACCCTTGTCTAGCACAAAGCAAGTGTCCACTGGCTACAAGGAGCCCAGAGTGAGCAGGCTCCACAAGCCAAATGGCCTCTGGAGCTCAGGAGCAGTGGAGGAAGTGGAGTGTGCAAGTAT